CTTCACTGTTCCACAATCCCGCATGCATGCAGACTGTGGGAACGTTCTGGGCGAGTTACTCACCCAGAAACCATCACAGCCACAACCATGGGAACTTTCTGGGCAAGCTGCTCGCCCAGAATCTTCCCACGGGGGGGTGCCAATTATGGAAAGTCAGCAAAGAGCCGAAAACTGTATAGTTCCCGGCTCCCATTTGTAGCGGCTTCACAGGAGGTTGAGAAGGTTACCCTTCTTCTCAACTCATTTCCTGTGAAGGCTGGGGCTAGCCCCCTCAGTGAGTTTGAAGACCTCAGACTGGGACTAGATACCCCAGTGACTAGGAGGATCCCCCTGGGCCCGTCACGGAACAAGGGCCGGGCCCTGACATGTTCTAACGAAGGAACATATTATTTATAATCTGTGGTTGATCTGCATATCCATGGATTTCTAACTGCTGGATATGGTTTTTGTTTCAAACCTCGAAAAATCTGCAGATTCTGATCTGGATCTGGACTGATCTGATCTGCTAGGAGCCCTAGTTAGGCTGCAGAGCCATTTCTACATGTCAGGGCACACACCCTGACTAGCCCAGACCCGGACCTGCTACACTTCCCGCGCATACTTCCCATGCTGCATGCTCCACACACTGCATGATCTGGCCCCAGATCCTTCCCTCATGTGACTTCCGGGTATCCCCAGAAGTTTGCCTGATATTGTGGGAAGATGAGAAGTTAGCTTCCTTCTCATCTCCTTACCCACAGTAGGTTGTGCCCTGGATAGGGCTGGTTACACCAGAGGTTATGGACCATAGGGGAGGGTCATGGGGACCCAGGAGTTGTCCCCTGACAGCAGAAGGAAGCTTCAACAATCGCCCCTGCCCACCTAGGATGTCCTGCATGGGCTGTGAGAGCCCAGACTGAGTCAGAGCTGGGCATGTGTCAGGGCACACCTGCCTGACCTGCCTCCACCTGGGCCCACCTCACCTGGTACCTCCTCTTCTCTCATCCTGTATCCTTCTCTCCTGTTCTTTCTCCTTTCTACCGCTCTTCTATTTCTGTTTCTATTTCTATTCCTATTTCTATCTTACATGGACAACCTTCCTTTATATCTATGTATTATCGACCCGCCTGTGATGCACACATGACATGCCCAGCCCGGATGCCCTGGATGGCTCTAGGGTGCAACCTAGTACACACGCTGTAGGAGAAATAACGGTCACACTATGGAAACCCATTATGGAAATATGCCAGATAAATCACAAAACCTCATATGACAAGTAGATATGAGAAAATAGAAGGGCCTGAATTTTAATGAATTTTTACGAATTTTTACAAATTATTATGACTATACGCGATAAATCGAAAGAAAGAGAATTAGCAAAAATATTTCAAGCTTAGCATCAACGAGACGGAATTCTTGGGGGAATTTATAGCAAATATTAAACAAATAATTAGGACAATCGATGAAGATTTGACTATAAAAACAATCAGAGAACCTCCACGGAAGCTACTTTCCCACGTCCGCACACATAGCCAAGGATGGAAGTACCACGGAACAAGGATTCCTCAGGAACTAATAAAAAATTCAAAGTCGTGTCTATAACAGGAAATGTAGATGTCCCCCAAACGGACCCAATGAAAGTAATTACAGGGGAAACTACCCATAAACGATGGAGATATGACTAAAACTCCTGCAAAACGAGGACAACGTCTAAAAGGCAAGCACAAAGATTAACCAGTAATGACCGAGACAAGCTTGATAGCCCATTAGAAAGGAAGGGATCTAATCTTAATCCTCCCAAATTTTCATAATAAAAGGATCATGCATTAATGTGATATCCAATAACGGGAATAGTGACATCAAAAGTCCAAGCTCAGGGAAAAGACGATGTTTGCGTAGGATCCATAATTAAAACATACAACGAAATTTACACGAAAATTATTAAAAATGGGGAACTATAGTTATGCAAATTTTCAGCCCAAACGGTCCAGCTGTTGTGAAGTTATACCCATGACGGGAATATAGAAATCCACATCATGTGTAATGACACGTGAGGGTGGCGATGCGCAGGGAACCGGCCATCGGAACTGAGATCCGCACTTTGGCAGATCGCAAAGACCAATTTCCATCCAAATAAGGAAGAGCCCGGTCAAAACAAAGCACAGAAAGTGCAAAACAACCTTAGATCATGAGGGAAAAATCTGAAATAAATCACAGAAGCCCATATGAAAGAAATAAACACCTGCGCATATCATAAATCCCGAACAATTAAACGGAAACGGCGCCTGCATACAAACGACTATGGGAACGATGCACGTGATTACCGAATGTGCGTGCAAACTTTTGCTAACTCAACGAATACCAGGAAATAGGACACAACCTTAGTACCATTGGAAAGGTGGGAATAAATGAAAATTTATGATACCAAGAACGTGAGAAAACATCCAGAAATGAATGAGATACAAGGACATGAAGTTAGAAACCTGAAAACGCGCGGGAAAACAGCTTCAAGAGGTCCAGAGTCCTAAATAAAATACATAAAAATATGATATCTTCAAGGACGACCTACTATAACAACAAACAATACATATGGAGGATTAGGATGTGATAATACAAAGGGGAATCAGGGAATATGAACGAAATTCACGAAAACCACTAAACTACGATGGACCATGGCGGGAATTTTAGGGAATGATATTCTAATGAGGTGGAGAGCTATAACACATTCGTTTGAGTAATTCTTGACTACTAGCAACTTTTTCTTTCAGTTTTAAACCTGAATAATTCACTCATTTACCATTTCAGTCTCATTTTAACTAAATGTCACCAAATAAAAATGGAATAAATCAGCTGAAGGTCTCAGCACAGCCATATGCATAGTAATGCAAAGTTTGAATTCAGAATCATCGAGTCATAGCAAATTTAATGGTATATATAGGGAATTTGAAATAGGTAACTGCAACAAATGCAGCGCAGCCAAGTTCTAATTAACCATTAAAATAGCTTAGGCGAGGGAGGACAATAAGGATTCTAGGCGCAGTCTGACCACAGTAGAACTGCAGTTCAGCGCAGCAAAAGCGCAGTAGAACTATAGCATGAAAATTTCATGTTTGAGAAAAATACACTGTAAATAAATCCTGTAAATAGAAGGTAGAGCGTGAAAAAGGAAGGCGACCCAAGGAGTATAAAAGGGAGACCCTTTCTGCGACTTTTCACCCCCCTTAGAGAAGTAAGAAAATAGAGTATTATTTTTCTCAAGCATTTCTGGTTGTCACTCCAGTGCGAAAAAGTGATATACAGTTAAGATTGCCACTGTAGTAAAAGGCAGCAATTAAGGAGAGAAATATTAAGTAAATATTTCAACAGGAGAGCTGGTTAACACTCCAGATTTCAAAGTGTAAACACAAAACAGTTATCTTGCTACTGTTAAAACAAGCAATAAAATAAGACAAAAATAAAACAAACCCAAGGGACACTCCAGACACAATCCAAATCCATTAACTGAATAGAATCTTTGAAACTTCACCAAGTAGAAGATTAAATTCAAGTTAAATTCCAAATTAAACAACACTACACAGAATTACACCTAGACAAATTAAGAAATTTCAATAAAGAAACAGCTCCACAGGGCTCGGTTTATCTGTAAGTCAATTCCCAGGAACTTTAAAACTAACCCATAAAAATAGAATTAGCCAAAACACTCGGATTGGTACTATATTTACAATAAATAACACTAGTACACTTCCCCATCCTAACTAAAGAACCAGGGAACAGCTTGGTGGTGGTCTCGTTTGAACCTCCCAACTGACCTTCCTTCGTTCTCTCCTTCAACACTTCCAACTGGTCGGGGTGAATCACCAGATACAACGCTCCAAAGGTCCTTCTTTACCAGATAGGCCTTCATATACATTGCCCAGGCCACGTAATTGTCGTCATTGAGTTTGTCAAAGGGGGTAGAAGCAGGCATGTGGGAAGTGAAAAATTAAGAGTGGGAAGCAAGCAGTTTGAAGAAAATTTCACGAAATTTCCGGTGGCCGTGAGAAGCAAATTTCGTGGCAAGGAATATTGCATGCCTGTCTAAGGACTTAGAGCAAGGGGGTGATGAAGGGGTGCCAAGTCCGACCTTAAAAATGGGCGCCGGACTGGACTTGCGTGCCCAACACAAACTTGAAGAATGCCACACACCGGCCTTAATGGTGGGTGTCAGGCTGGACTTCAGTGCCCAAAAACAATGCCTTAAAGGACTTAAAAGGATGCCTGGTGTACAGGACTTAACAAATGCCGCATGGGACTTAAGATATGGGGGATTGCCCCTGCCTCCGCTGAGGACTTATGAAGGTGGTCAACTGCACTTTGACCAACTGCTGCGAGAGTCAGGCGGACTTCCTTGATACCTAAGCTTGTCCAGGCGAGCTGCCTGGGCTCATAACCTATAAAAAAAACCAAGTTGAGGGTGGCTGGACGAGAATATAGTGGACTCTTTTTTAGGAAGGTATATGATACAAATATATGTAAATATGGGTTTCGAGGTCGTTCTTCCAACAATATATAGCTTATTAAAGCATATACTCTTGACAGACTGGGACTAAGGCAACCCACACGAGCGAGCTACACGCTTCAGGTAGATACTACCCATGATTACTATCTATCTTACAAAATTGAACTATTTATTTGATTATAAGCCTTACTGTGCATTACAAGTACAAATGAGGGTATCATTCACATGGTGACCTTATTTCTCAGCCCTGAGAGGGTGGGGAGCATGAGGAGCAAATGTGAATTCTCAGAGCCTGGGGAACAAAACCGAGTTTCCTGATGAATGCGGAGTCCGCTGACCTTCCCTCAAGTGTTCAAGTCCCAACTGTTAATCTGAGCAGCACGATACGTCAATCAGTGATGTATCAGCTCCCGGTGCAAGTCCTGTCCTTATATACATCTAGTGATAGTCCTACACCACTGAAGTGAAACACAAACAGTGGTCAAAGCGTGAAAACAAAGGCCCAAAGCAACAATATGTTCACCGTCGTTTGCCCCCAAAGCGCCTCCTTCCCAAAGCTCCCAAAGCGTGAATGTACGGTCCGCGGGCCGCCAGTGGGGTCGGGCTGTAGCTTCTAACACCAACATCATACAGAGTGACCCTCCTGATACTCTTCTGCACTCAATAGTGTGCTATTGTGGCTCTGCCCCCCAGCTGACATACTGCTTATAGCACAGGAATGCACCAAATCATCATGGCCAACTATACACAGCATTGCGAAGAGTACGGGGTCCTAGCAATGCCAGAGGATAGGAAGGGAGGCCGAAGGTTCCCGGAAACTTGCGATCGCAAAATTGAGGTCCACCTTTTGCGATGTTTAAGCACCAGCCCAAGGGCGACTCCGATCGAATTGAACTAGGGGGAATGGGTGCGACCGAAGAGTTCTGACAATGTCAACGGATGACTAGGCGCCAGAATCAGGTAGTGGATGTATGATCTGGGTGGAGATTGGTCGGGGTAGGGCCAATTGTAAATTTGGTGTTGGCCCGGTCGTAGCGAAGGGAGCAGGGGTTTCGGAGAATCTGGTTAAGTTTAAATGGAGTTCCAGTGCCAGTGAAGCTATAATTAAGGGTGTTCACGACCAGCCACGGCTCGACCCCAGATCGACCAGAATTCCACGTCCAAATTTTACAAATCGACTCATGACCTCGGCGTTCCCAGGAAGGCACGAGTTCTCGAAGCTCGGTGCGTGAGATCGAATGAGTTTAAAACTTGGAGGCAGGACTATATTTGTTAGTTCCGGGGGATGGCGCGTCGAGGGACCCAGGAAGAGACCGATTCGAGGGCAATAAGTGAGGTTCACGCGGGAATTACTTTTGACCACGGGAAATTGGTGGACGTGACTCTGACGTTAATTAGCCACAAGGTAATGTCCATCGGATCTGGCGTTTCGTCACCCAGCTAAGACTTCATATATCGGCAATAATCCACTTCAAGCTCCTGCACTAGAGTCCTTTCGAAATGATGCAAAATTTCCTCAGCTCCGACGATCCACTCAACCTGGACAATGTTCGAGCGACGCTTATACGACTTGAGGACAGCATCATTTTCGGTAAGATCCTGACTTCCTTACTGCACGAGAGCCGCCTATCTGATTATATACTGTGGTCAAAGCTCTGATCGAACGGGCGCAGTTTGCACTTAATCCTCGAGTTTACGAGAAGGGCGCATTTCAAGAGTTGATCGACCTAGGATTTAACGGCACTCTTCTAGGATGGTTCCTCAAAGAGACGGAGAGCTTCCATGGTCAGTAGTCCTAGCCTTTGTTCATCCACCTCACATGACGATAGTTTGCGAGGTAGCCAAGGCACGACGATACACGAGGTACGAACACTGCTCAGATGTCAGCACAACGTTCGGAGCTTATGTTGCGACTCCATAGCCCAGATGAGCACCCCTTTACTCCAATAGAGTGCCTACCAAAGCCTATCCTCCCTCTTCTTGAAATGCCTGCGATCCTCCATCCGAACAAGATCAACGTCAATCCCTCCGTCTTGTCTTTCTATACGCGAACTATTGTTCCTCTTATCACTCGACGAGCGACAAGAGATTTCGCTGCTATGAGCCGATCCAAGGGTAGGAATGGAGGCGAAGAGTTTGAGGATGATGGCAACTATGGCAGTTCTGTCACGGCCGACCTCGCTGCTCTGCAACTCATCAGCAAACGAGTCCATTACGGTGAGTCAGCCTGTTTGTGCATGCTAACTTGACATAAGTTTTCACGTCTTCATTATCGTCCTATGGATAACACCCTTCATCTTCCATGCGCCGCCTGCAGGGAAATTCGTTTCCGAGTCCAAATTCCGCTCTGACCCTGCCGCGTTCATTCCACACATACTCAAACCAGACCCTCAGGCTCTTGAGGCCCTTATCACCAAGCCTGCAGTCGAGAAGGCGCTTCTGGACCGGATTGTCGAGAAAGCCAGCATCTATGGACCTGATTTAGGTGTGGATGGGAAATTGCCGATTCAGAATGGGAACCATTCTGATACCAAGTGGAGGATTGACACTGAAACCGTTCGGGAGCTGTATGAGGATTGGATCATTCCCCTCACGAAGGAAGTAGAGGTATGCTGCGTCTCACAATGCGTCGCTTTCTTGATGTGATTACTAACGTGTGTTTCCTGAAAGGTTGACTACCTTCTCCGTCGTCTAGATGGACTTACACAGGAAGAAATTGACCTGCTTTCCAAATCCCAAGGGCCTGAGGCATGAAAACATTGACATGCCAGTCATCGCTTGCTATTTAGACACAAATGGCCCTGCCATTCCCCAACACTCTTATATTTCTTGTATCCACATATTTTGTACTATGTGCGTATCCCTCTGGCGCTCAGCCGTTGGCGTCCTCAAACAGAGAAATAAAGTGAGTGGAAGCGTTCGTGACGAACACCAGCTTCGGAGGAAAGCTAGCCTCAACGAAGGACCGCCTTCAACACTTTGAGACACATTGGCCGTGGGCAGTTCGCGGGGGCGATTTATAGTAATCCGCCTTCAGTTTGTCTCGATTGCATAAGCCCATGGCCGCTCGGGGGCATGGTAAATTGCATCCGGTTGCCAAATAACCCTGATTTGGGAAGTACATATTGAAGGGCTTTCATCCTTTGCGACGCCTCTTCTAAACGTTCATTGCACGCTCTCTTCGTTTAAAACATCCATCATACTCATTTCTCAACCAGACTAGGTCGCGCGAGATTGTGTGCACCGCACGCCCCGCTCGTGAAACGCGGGCATATATTGGAACCTCGATCTCTCGTAGTTCTTCTTACGGCGACCTTTGATCTTTTCTTAATTTGCCAACTCACACATTCCACACCTGCCAACCACGTAACACGTTTCCTCAATGGTGCTCGGCCTGACGCTTGGAAAATCTAAACGAAAACACTCTGTCAATGAGGAGCCTGAGCCTGTACACCTCAGAGCTTCCCCATCCCTCCCTGAGCTCAATCCCACTGCCGTCTCCTGGCCTTCGAACCTTGTCACCGATACTAACTTCAACCTTGACGATGCCACCTCCAAGCAGAATGGGAATGTGAGAGCGTCTCTCTCCCGACAAAGCAGTGGCCGAACGATCTCGTTCAGCAAGCCTTTCAAAAGGTTCTCGGTCTCAACGACTATTGGGGATGCAAGAGAGAAGAAAGACAGTATGGGGTCTTCATACCCTCCTTCTGCATTTGAACGTGCTGCAGGTATTATTGGTAGCCCATTACGTTCCAAGAGACGGCCGCAAAACATCGTCCCTAATTTCAACATCATGATTGTGTACGTAATGTTCGGACTTCATTCCACTCCAGCCGCATGACTTCTGACGCTCCTTTTCTTTCTTTTGGGTATTCTTTAGCGGAACTGTCGGAAGCGGGAAGACCAGTTTGATGCGTTTACTTCTTGGAACGAGCAACATCTCGAAGGGTGCTACGCCCGAACAGCGAGCTAAAGTTGAACAGATCCTCCAGAATCCGTCTCTATCGCATGACTCGGCTGTGAATTCTGCTTCGGTTGAGATCGAAGAAGGCGCGGAGCGTCTAATTTTAACTTTGCTTGATACTCCTGGTTTCCACCACAACGAATTAGACTTGGAACGAGCCATCACAACTCTGGTTCGGATGGTCGGGGCGAGATATGATGAGACGCTCAACGAAGTTAGTGGCTTGATGCGTGAGATAAGGTCACTGATCTCATACGTTCTTCCCCATAGGAGAGTAAAGTTGTACGACAGAGCGGCAAGGGGGATCATCACATTCATTTGTACAGCGATTGATTCTAACACTCTGAGTTGCATTGTTTAATAAGCCTTTAACTAGATGTCTATACCTTATTTCACCCACATCGCTGAGGGAATATGGAGACGTAAGCTCATTGTTTTTTTCCAGGGGTGCTTTTTTTGACGCCCAAGGACTCAGAGTCATCTCAAGCTTGACAAGGCCGATATCACAGCTGTCCAACGGCTTTCTGAACGTGTCAACGTTCTTCCCATTCTCACCAAAGCAGATACCATGACGGACGAACGGATGGCACTGGTGAAGGCAGCCGTGAATCGGGACCTCCGAGCGGCAGGCCTCCCTATAACGCTTTTGGGTTCCACAGATGTCGAACCTTCGGATGCTATGGAGATAGATTTGCAGGAGGATGCTGAGTACCAAGATGAGAATGAGCCCGTGCCTGCTGAGCCAACTCCTCACGTCGTACGGATACGCCCGACCTCCGCATACATCAAGGCTAAACGCCGGCGTACTTTCAGTCAGCGTTCAAGATCTCGTGCGCGGGCAGCGTTGACCGATGAGGATCTCGAATTGTTCGGAGATTCTGGCACTGGTTTGTTTACCATGAATGATTTGCGAAATGCCCTTCCCTTCGCCGTCATGTCGCCCAACAAGCTGCCTACTGCCTTGGGCTCTTTTTTGTACAAGGATGCGCCTGATGGTGGACTCTTTCCTCCAAGCTACGTGGAAGCGCTGTCCCAGAATAGGGGACAATTCACGCGGAAATACCGATGGGGCCCAGCTGATGTACTTGGTCAGGAATTCGGGTGTTAGCCAAGACTGCATGCTCACTTCTTCTCTTTCAGATCCACAACACTGTGACTATCTTGCGCTTCGGCATTCTATATTAGGTGTTCGGATGAAGGTAGAATTCAACATGGATTATAGATGGGGATTCACTGACAACTTTTGCAAGATGTTGAAACGGACCACCCGCGAAGTGTTGTATGAGAAGTATCGCACAGAACAACTTCTTGCCCGACGACGATCAATGAAGACCAACACCGAGATGTTGTAGCTAGCGTGTGTCTTCGTGCTCCATTTTAGACCTGATGACGATGTCTAGGCCACGGCACATCAAACCTTTCAACCATTTCACAATAATAGGGAGTTTTCTTGTCTTGCTTTATACTCTCCGCAACTGGAATCTGGGAAATTATTATATTCTTGCTTATTTCAGCCTCGGTACCTCACTCCTCTCCTTTATCTGTCGCCCAATTCACTCATTTTGCTTTCATCTCGTGTTCGCCGGTCATCGAGTGGCATGGCCCCTTCACCTCCCCCCGGATGTTCTTCGTTGCTTAGTCGTTCGAAGCGCTGGTTCTGCGTACAAATGTAATTCAATGCATGTTCATTGGTTTTGACACATCAATCAGTCTCCTTATAAAGCACCTTGCCCAAAAATTCTGATCAAGAGCGAATGCCAAGTTCTACATTCGGGGGCATGTTCAAAGGCCCTCTACTTCTCATTTGTGTGCTTCCGTCGATCCGTTAGTTGACCTGTAAGTTGGCCTGGGTTCCCTGTTAATTTGTTTTTTGAGTCGATCCTTGATGTCTTTGCGCTTGTCGGTATGTTGCTATTCTCTTATTACGAAGTCATAGAGGCTGGAGTCCTGCCTATCTTTCTCATCGGTCAACGAGGCTCAGCTTCTTAGTGGTAGCGGGTTCTCCGAATTGTAGTAATATTAAATAAACTAGAAATGGCTGCCGTGCAGCCCTTGTGATAAGGCTTCTGCATGTGAGGTTAACCGCCACAGCAGAACAGTTTGTGCCGAATCGTTGATCAAACTGGCAGGGTCTTTTTGCACCATTATGCTGAGGTTCTTTCTACCATCGCGCAACTTTTATTAAGCTGTCATGGGTGTTCTTTCCCCTCTTTTTGTTTGCCATGAGCACACTACATTAGTTATTACCCAACAGTTAGCTTTCCCAACGCTCTATTCCACTAGCTTTATCCGATTAAAAGAATGCAGGACATTGCGCCGTTGATATGAATCACGGAGGTATGTGTAATCAGTGATGGTGGATGGATCGAGGTCCAAGGCACACTCAAAAATGAGTATGACCACGGTTTAGAGGTTGAATCGGAAGTGATGCAAATGGAGTTAGAGGAAGCCACAGTGTGCAGGAAGAGTCGCGTTTCAAACTGAGATTGGAATAATGAGGAATGTGTAGTGTTAGTCAAGTTCGTACTCACAGAGAGCCGACTGGGTGTCTGAAGTCTGAGCTAACATAGTTATACGAGGGGTCAAGTGATTTGTCTTATCGCAGTGGTACTACAGCGGAAGTGATTGTCATATTGGGAAAGGAGGACCCTAGGTTACAAAGAATCCTGTGAACAGCACTTGTGGGGCCTAAATGTGCAGAACCCGCTACGAAGTAGTGGGAAAAATGAGCCAGAAAGATCTTATCGCGAGAGTTGTCGGAAAACACTGCGGACGCGTTGTGACCCGTTAGAAGGCGTTGTAACGCCTCTCAACGGCACGTGCCGTTCTAACGCTCTCAACACTGAACTCGATCGTTCCAACGCCTCGAAGCGTTGTAACGCTTTCCCTCCGTTTCAACGCGTTGCAACGGCAACAAGGTAGGGTCAACAAAAAGAGACAACTCCTTGCAGGCCAGGATTGAAGCCTACCTTCATTTCATTACGTCCCCACACATTATCCTCAATTTTGGTAACTCACATTGCGGAATAGGACCAGAAATATCATTAAATGGTTGGTACAGGTGAGAATTGAACCAAGGAACGCTGTGGTCATTATAGTAAGTACATTCATAACCGCTACACTATCATGCACTCTCGGCTTTGCACTGATATGTTGACATAAAGTTGTGTCGATAGGTCTTTTGGGCTAAGTTACTTGATATTCTCAATATGTGTACACCCGCTGTGGGATTGGACCATGTCTCATTGTGGCTCTCAATGGTGGTGCTATGTGGAGTTAGAATTCGAACAAAGTTGAAGTTCATTTCAGCAGTGGTATTGAGGAGAACATGAAGCGCAAACACAAATCAGAACTCAGTGAATGAAGTGGCTTAAATAAGAATGTGCAGTGGACGTTGAGGGTGGTGGAACATGGAGCGATAAAGGAAGATTCCTATGCTGAACACTGACAGTTGATGGGGGGTGCACTCTGTTATGAAGTGAGTTACCGAAAAAAATTGCTGCAACGTTCTCTGTGTGCGTCGGAATCGTTGTCCATGCTGTCCCTGAATGACATGTGCAAGTTACGACTCAGCGCCCGGCCTCCCATATGGAACCCCACTCATTAAAATGACACAGGAAGTGAACGGTGGGGTTGTTGCGGATTCGTCACTTGCTGAAGTGGTCGTTCGCCGTGAGAGTGGTTGGCCGTCAAGTAGTAGACGTCATCGATGTGAAGCAAGCGAAGGTAATTTGTGGCAATGAATCATGAAACATGTGTTTACCTGAGTATGGAGAACTCCCATGTAGCTTGAAAGTACAGGGTATGGAAATGTGAATGTGCAGTTGCTACAGCCGTGGTTGACAGTGAAAGGAAAGCGCATCCATGCATTTGTGAACAGGGATGTTTACAGCGCGGCTGAGTATTTACAATTTGATTTTTGCTTTGAGCGTTGGAACGGACTAACAAAGTGTTGGAACAGATTAATAAAGCGTTGGAACGGATCAATAAGGCGTTGAAACGCGTTGAGAGCTCTTAACGCGTTAAAACGAAATTCCGTGTTTTCCGACAGTTGTAAGAAAGGACACGTGCAGAGAAGAGGTCAATACATTTTCAGAATTCCCACGAATTGTGGACATGCAAGAGACCTTGCAAGCAAGGTAATCAAGTCTGGTCACCTGCTTACCCCGACAAGGACTTCAGACTGATGCGTCTGAGTCTCTTTGGCCGATCTCTCCTGCTATTTGTTTGCGAGGTGTTGGCAAATGCGGCCGTGTGGATTACCTCTGGATTACTTTTTGGCCTTCGTTCGGAGGCCCGATCCGTCCTAAGTTTATGTCTCCTTGCATGGGTAAGGATTGTGAACTTCTTCCCTTTTTTCCCTTGCGGCGTGCGCGTTCTACACCTTACTGATGCTTGTCCTGCTGAGCAGACATTAGGCCTTAGGCACGGTATGTCCGGTCAAGCCGATTCCCTTTATACCCCAATAATTACACAACAACCCGGTCGATCCATAGCTCTGGATGCCGATCATATAAGGTGCGCAATGGACTGTACTCTTTGAGCATGCCACACATTTCTTTGCGCTTCGATTGCTCAGTGCCATCGATAACGCTACACGGGGACTAATGGCTTTAGGCCAGTTTCCAGTGACTTGTGGTTTGTTCTTTTCTTTGGGACACAGTACGATCGTTATCGTTGTGGTAAGGTGGCATGATAAGGACGCATAAGGATGTGTATAACTGATGTTGGGAAGACAGAATATTGCCGTCGCCATCAGGTTTGTTGTATCGAGCGTTATCTTGGATGCGGGGTTTTTCTTATATTTCCATCCTCAGTACCGACGTGTATGATAAAATTGGAAGTATGTTATTGTATGGAAACTTTATACCGAAACTGATGTTCTTCTATAAGGCATTGGAGATGTTGGGAGCGTCGTAGGTGAGCCCTAGCGTACCTTTGCAGCCTGCTACAACTTATGGGTGTATGAAGGTGCCATTGTGAGCGGTACATTCCTTTTCCTCATTGGCACCGCGAACGCCGTCATACTCTGGCGAATCATCAAACGTCGCCGAATGGTTGGTAGTCCTTGTCGCTTCAAGTCGAATTGCGACCTCACCTTGGCTAGGATGCCAGACGCGCGGAGCTTGGGCTAGCTCCAATCGATGACGGTTACGATAATACTCCTTCAATCATGCTGCGCTTCCTAGGGCCCGTGACGGCATTCGTTAATCGGCCATGGAAAGTTTGTTGTGTCATTTTTTTAATGTGTCTTCTACTAAACAGCTGTGGCGTAGATGTATCCTGTCGGAGTCCTTTTCGGATTCGGGTTCGACACGGCTTCTTCTATTGCTCTGCTAGCAATAACAGCCTTAGCCAAAAAGAGACCGGATGGTCGAGGAACGATCAAGCAATCAGAAATCATCGTATTACCCCTCCTCTTCACTTGCGGGATGACTCTTGTAGATTCCATCGACTCCATCATCATGCTCTACAGTTATGCTGGGTTCCCTGAGCGGGGATGGAGCCTATGGGAAGAGAAAGCTGCACTCTCAGTTGAAACTGTTGAAGGTGGTCCGAAGAGAGGTCCAGATCCTTCTGATCTGACACCAACAGGCATTGAAGATCCAAAAGCTTCCGGTTCTTCGCCATCAGCAAGTGAGACTGCCCAGCGTCTTGAACTACCCATAGATGCTCTACCAATTGGCGGGATCGGGGGACCAAGTGGGGGTTTACCGACATCAAAGGCTTCCTTTCAAAATCCTTCTGAGCAGGTGGAGCATCAGCATTCCGATGCTGAGCCTGGGACTCGTCAAAACGAATTGAGACGAAAACTCATTTCGAAACGAAATACCATGTCATCGCTTAGTATCATATTAACACTGATTTCCATTCTTGTGAGCCTGCCTACCATTATAGTCCAGAGGTTTTAAATTCCATCACGAAATTGCTGAATCGTCTCTTCTTACGGCCTCTCACAGGTTGCTTTCAGCATCAGTCTAATCACGATCATGGGACTCATCGGTGAAAAGTGCGCGTCTTGCAAGGCCGCCGCCGAAAATGATCCCGGCATAAGCGGGAAATGGTGGAGAGGATGGGTGCAGGTACTAGGAGATTGACTCCGATTCGAAATTTCACGTTTATTCTGATGCATTTTTTTTTTTGCAGGCAAGCGACCAGTCGGGACTTGTGGGTGCTGGAATTATAGGAATATTTGTTTGTATTGTTGCTGTGTATTATTCCTTCCGATGGGTGAAACGTTGTAACATGCATAACGACAAAGTTCGAACTTGATGTATAATCACCAATAGAGTTTCCGCCAATGTAGCGGTGAAGGGCTGGGCCTTGTGCTTGTGAGTCACACTGTAATCAGTTTTTACATATTTGCCGACAAAGGCACACAACAAATCTCTGCCTTTGACTATAATACCCTAAACCTTCCGAGTGGCGGAAGCACAATCCCTCAACTCATCCATCCGATACGCAGCCGATCCAACAAGCAAGGTCATAAAACCAGAGATCCCAATCGGATCAAGACAACACGTCTGGTCCTTCATTATCACACAAAAACTAGTATGTACTCGGAAGAAAAAAAGAGGGGCTAGAAACATACGCACACGCACTGTACACCGCGGCAAAGACGAAAAAGTATGAGAGCACCTGGACATGATTTCGTAGCTACGAACGGGGTTTGCACTGCATGCTGGGGGACTTGAAAGGGAGAGTAAAAATAGAGATGGCTAGCTGCAGAAGCTGGGTCAAGAGTGAGCCAAGCCAAGCCGACGCCGCAAATTATTATGTTTCTACATTTGAATATGTCAATTGGGGGGGGGGGGGGATCAAGACGATCCCCCCCAAGAAGAATCGATCAAAAAAGTGCCTGTGGGTTCCTGCCAGAGAGGGAGGATCTTGAACTTGAGGCCCGAAGTCGATTCCCACTTCCATTTCTGAGGACTAGGAATACTCATCTAGCCATTTGCACTTCCCAAGAGCGATGCGATTGAGTTGGTCCCAATAGAGTACTGTCCAAGTTGAAAAAAAAGACAGCAGAAGTGAGTCCGTTGCGCGACAACGAGGGGAAAAAAAAAAAAAAAGAGGAATTTAACCTCACCCTCAGAGTGAGCAATGAATCGCCCAAGCAACGGAATCTTCGTTACCCAAACCCCGACTTTTTCTCTCAACCATTCACCACGGTGTCTACGAAGATTCCTATCCCTGATCGCCTGAATGTCCTCTTTCGAAAAATGACTATAAATCCTAACGATCGTATCGTCTCGGGAGTAAAGAGAACCCGTAACGTTCGAAACGACGGGCCGATCTTTCATTTTGATTTCGGCTCCAAGGTGGGCGAACCCTGCGGGGTTTGTAGAAGAGAGTTTGAGCCGAGGGTTGTCACCTAATTGGGGGAGTCTAAAGCGATTAAGTAATTAATATAAGGGAATGAGTGAAGTTGCGCAAAAAAAAAACAAGGATAAGCAAAAGAAAAAAAGAAATAAAGACATAAAGAAACACGTACAAAGTAGCAATTGCATCACCGTCATTCGTAACTCGCCACATCGTCTTTAAATGTTCGCCAGGCTGTTTGATGATTTGGTTGAATCGAAGAGAGGTCTCACGATCTCCGCAAACAGGAGCCGCAAAGAGGTACGCATCCCGGATGATTATAGGTGACCCCTCGAAATCGGAAGGGGAGTTGAGCGCTCGAGCATAAACGAGCGTAGCGAGGGCGCATCCGACTGAAACAGGGATATATATATATCAAGGGAAGGAAGTATAGAGGGAAAATGACTCACGAGAATGACCCGTAAACCAAACGTTGATCTTCTCCCCTTGGTCTAAATCCCTCGCCAAATAATTCGCCAAAGCTCTCAACGCAAACCTGATCGTCTCATAAGGTCTCATTCCACCCACGACGTCCTCTTCAACCTCCCGTAAATCCTCCGGGAAGATCCTCTCCTTGAACCCTTTCACCGCTTGACTGAATCCAGGTAAGAAATCGTCGACGGGTACGAGCGTCGTACTTAGATCCGATACCCAATCTGCGTACTCGGTGAGTCCGGTTCCTTTGAAGGTGACGGCTATCCAGTTGCCTTTTGGTTCCCAAAAGAAAGAGCAGAAAGCCTGGAGGATTATATATGGAGGGCCAAAAAAAAAAGAGGGGGGGGGGGGTTGAAGCGGTATTGAGTGAGTGCCATTTGCGAGTGGAGAAGGGTTTTAGATGGTGATTAGAAAACGAGTTAATTTTCAATTGATCACCAAAAGAAAAGAAAAAGGCGTTGAAGGGAAAGAATGTTCACTTACGCTTTGACTCGTATTCAACTCGCTGACAGGCTCATACGCCACTCCGATTCTCCTACAAAACCTTCTAATCACATCCTCCCCTTTCGCAATCTTACCAAATCTCATTCTCTTCTCCATCGACGACGACGAGGACCGTCTATCATCCTCGTCGCCTTCATCGTCCTCATCGTCCTCACCCTCCACATCCCCAGTATGAACACGACTCCCTTTCCTCGAGATCTTATCGAACGTTCGCAACTGCATGAACGACTTTCGAATGCGCTCCTCCTGTGTATTATCGAATAAAGACTTGACCAACTCTCCAGGTTTCGCTCTCGTCATAGTAGTCACGCCATCGAAGTGTTGAACTACAGGTTTTTCTTCTCGTTCTCGTTCTCGTTCTTGTTGTTGCGACGACGAGGGAGCCCCGAAGGAGCGAGAATCAGGAGTTCTCAATCCGGTCAAAGTCACATTCCCCTCTCGAGTTCCTTACTAGCCCACCTCGTAGCGGTCTCCACTCTTCCCCTCCCACTCCGGCTCGTCAAACTCCCCCCGACCCCTTCAAATGACCACCTGAACGTGAATGCTTCTCCACTTCATCCAAAACGTTATAGAGAGCATGAGACTCCCTCTCATACACGACGCAGGAAAATTGAAGGAGTAACTTGGCGATGTCAAGGTTAAGCTCCCTCACCGTCAATCCTCCATCTCCATCTCCTCCACTTTCGCTTCCACCACCAGTACGACTCAACGCAACTTTCCCAATTTCCGCCTCCTTTTTCGTCAACACCTCGAACAATCTCGGATTGCCAGAATTCGCCAATCCTAATCCATTTGCGTACTTGTTCGACCATATCGTGTAGAGGGTTTCGACCAAGGGGAGGTTCCAGATTTGACACCAGATGAGACCTAAGAAGAGGATTACGGACGTTAGGAGGGCGAAGGCGATCGTTAGGAGGAGGTCGGTGAGGGCTGTTTTATTTTTTTTGGGTGTGTATGTGTGTGTGTGTGAAGGGGGAGCGAAGGTAGACAGAAGTGGGGGGAGAGGGTCGTTAGCAAACTGCACGTATTTTCAAAAAAAGAGAGAAGAAGAAGAAAAATTTTGATAGTGTTAACTCACGGATTTCCATCGTTGTAGCTAAAATATTAGACCACGTCACATAAAGGTACTTCAAGTAAGCTTCCAGAGGGACCCATATTGCGCCCAACGTCGTTTCTAGAAATACAAATGTAAATACTTGGTTTGGACGGGGGGGACGGTTTTGAGAGAGAGGAAGGAATAAAAAGACTACTCACGTCCTCTTCTATGATGTGGTCTAGTACCCCTCCTCGAGTGACCCATCGCTACAAGTTCATCGAACCGGAGGGAAGCCAATTTGTCATTGATGAGCCCTTCTCTCTCGCGTCCACCATCGTCTCTGGGGGCTCCGGAAGGAGGAGCATTCAACCACTCATCCATCTCATTAGGAGGATGAGAATGATGAGGACCATGAGGGATCGAGTTAGGTTTGGGCAATAAGGTAACGGGTGATTCTTGGAGTTGGGAGTTGGTGACGGCCGGAGTCGAAGATGTGGATGAAGGGTCGTATTCGGGAGTAGTTTGGAGTTTATGATTTTGTTGCTGAGGTCGAGGTTGAGGTCGAGTCTGATGGGGTTTAGGGGTTGTTGAGCGGAGATCGACATTGATGGTAGGGGTAGTAAAGGTCAACGAAGAGGTAATGTCATTGGTGACTTTGACGGGTGGTGGTACTGTAAGAGACATGGCTACTGGTAGATTCAAAAGTCGAGCGTTCAAGGGTTGGAGGTCCGATGGGTAAGGAGGAAGAGGGGGCGAGGGGGCGATCTGATTTTTAAAGCTGGACACAAGACAAGTGTCACACGCCAAGACTCAAAGATTGAGCGCGCAGACGAGGATGATATAGCGCGTGCGTTTTGAGCTAGCTTGAAATAATAACGTAAGATGTCCAATAATTCGCACTATCGAATCCGACCCAAGGACACTAGAGTGCTTTTCGACCAAAGACAGCAAAGAGCGCACGAGAGCAGAGCTAGACAGAGGCGGCAAGTTTGAATTTCAATATTAATATCAGACTCAGTGCAAGCTAAGAGGATCGAGCTCCGAAGGGGGGAACATGCAAAGGAGCTGTGCAAAACTCCTGTGACTCACTCTTATGTAGGAGGAGAGTAAGTAAGAAGAGGAGATATATGTATATATATATACCATCATCGCGGCAAGTTGCTCCCCGACAAAGAGCGCTCGTGAACCCAAAAAACACAAAGTGATAGCCTCAACTATGAACTCAACATGTGGCGAGGACGATTATATATGTTGCGATCTGGCTCCTGTGAAACTATATTTGAACATCTCCGGCCATTCGGCTCCGTGATCAATATCAATGGTTCCATAATCAATTTTATTCATATTTTTACTGATCACGCTTTCCTCCACAACTTCCAACAAACAAGTGTGAAAAAGTGGAGGCAGGGTGGGAACGAGTTACGACATTGAATTGCTCTTGTATTTGCGTTTATACCCGCAAACGGATGGTTGTGAACCACTGGGGAAGGACTGATAAATCTCAGCAATGATAAGTGGAAATTGCCGTCGTTGCACAGGTTCCGATGGGCTGATCATGGCTCAGTCAATATGCACAGGTATATAACGCTTGGAGCCCTTCAACCAAAGGTTTCAACGTAACGGTTACAGGGGGCCACTGCAAATTCGATCTATGCTATGCGGTGCAAAATGCAAACTCCTGAATCTCTTTGACTCTCTCGCTCGGGATCCAGTTTTTGGAAAGTCCATGCGTAATGACTACCGTTACCCATGCACCCACAAGTATACTCCCACTATCTACTCTCACATGATTTTTGCAGAATTACTCCCTCGCGGCTCCCACATGCACACCATGGTCCCCATCCTCCGATCCCCCAAAGGAATGACTGCTAGCATACCCACTCCCCCTCGCAGCTCTCCTCCCACATTATGCAATAAACCGAGTTCCTCCCCTGCCTGACCGATGTACCTACGGGAATGCCAACGGGAGACTTGACCCCATTTCATCATTTACAAGTTCCACGTGAAATCAGCTAGCAACACTAGTACTATGAAGAATTGTTTTCACCGCCCCACCGTTATACTTTGCAAACTCTGCACACTAGCTTACCACCTGGTTACTCCCTCCCTCTTCACAACAGTGACTGCTACCCTCACCAACTAAGTACACCGCCTCGCCAGCCGCAACGCCGGGAATCAATAGGTTGCACAACAGGCTTCGAAAGCATCCCTTCGAGAAGCGCTCGCCGCTTGATGAATTACTTAACGGAAGAATATACATATATATATCACTTTTGCTTCTACAGCAGAACGAACTAGTTCTCATCCAAGTCGCGCGCGCGAACAAGCTTGCTCTACTAGCGCGCCGCACCTCGTCAAATCAATCAAAGCGAAGCTTCTTAATCTATAAGGTTGGCTGTTGGGGCACATGCATACATTCGTAATATTCAACACCCGCACTTCTGATCAGCCTTTTTTTTTTTTTGCGCGCGTGATGGTGTCAACAGCAATAATTGTAACTCGAGCCAGCTGGTATCATTGTACTGCCGGTTTCAGTCTCCATAATGATAGCTACATTAATTGCAGTCGAACTCGCTCAGGCGAGTAGAGTTCATCCTAGCCATTATAATTATTGTGCAGAATAGGTAGAATGGCTTCCGATTGATGACAATGCCCCGCTGTCTGAAGAGAGCGCATAGCTATAGGGAGCTTGGGCCTTGAAGAGTTGTTTTATCTGGGAAAATCTTCGAGTAATCTCCATAATTAATCGTTGTCATTAGGTCCATTCAAGTTGCCAGAGTCTTTCCTTGCATATATCAGTGAGTACACACCATAATATTGTCAGTTGCACGTCCGTCACGCTAAGGTTCTGTGATCATGCCAGAGGGGCATTGTTAACGGAGTTGATTCGAACTTGCAGTTTCTAATTGTGAGTTTCAATCCGTGGGGGGGGGGGGGGGGGGGACGCCATGGATTCCTTAACGGGTTTCTTAGGTTGAGGAGCAGTAAAGTGCATGAGTACAAGCAATTTGAGCGTGAGTGTGTAGTTTTTTTGGAGCGTGTATAGAGTCTTTGGCAGTTGGATAGTCTGAGAGGTGGCAGGGAGCGGAGTGGAAGTGGAGGCAGAATTATTGTTTCTGGCAGTGGCGTCCGCCCAGTGTGCCCATCGCCTTGCCACTCAAACGAAGGTACCGTTTCCACCTGTGTTATGCCCTTCTTTTCTTGGCGACCCGATGCCTCCTCGCTGTCCAACTGGGATTGGTTATCCGATGAGTGTATTATTATCGAGGTCAAAAAACTCGACTTGAACAAATAACAACATGATCATACTGGCTCGGGTACATTTACATTACGCTCACCCGATGATACCACCCAGAAACCCACACCATGTATGGATGATCCCCTCATGTACACTCGGTGTAACGAGTCGGGATGGCCGCACTGCCACATACGAGGCCGCGGGGTAACAAAATAGAGTAACAACAACAAGATTTACATCACGCTATCGCGGAAAAGATTGGAACTTGCCAACCCGGCTGCTACGGCTTTCAGCTCAAAGCAGCAGGAGATACTTGGCTCTCCAGTGTGTCGGGCTGGGGGTTTGGTTCGCCGGTTTGTTGGCGTTCCGAGATTGCCTCCAGGGCCGTCGTTTTGTCTGCCTCTTTGTTTGTCTTCGTGCTTACCTCTTCAAAATCTGTGATTCGCATCGTCACGGATTTTGCATGAGCGCGTACGGTCACCAGCTCCTCGTGCCTTCCAAGACCTTCCAATGCATTAGCGACGCAGGAATATGTGAGCTGAAGCTGACTTGCGTAGGGAACAGGGTATTCGGAATGAAGCTGGCGATAGTATGATAATGACTCGTTACCCGTATCAAGCGCGTCTACATAGCGCCCAAGGCTGGAAAATTGAGTTGATAGGGTTTGCAACGCCAAGGCTAAATCGGGAGCATATGACGTCGGATGGGTGACAGATAGCGAACGCCAAAGGGAAATGGATTCTTCAATGAGAGGAAGCCCCTCCGCAGGACGACCAAGGTTGTAGAACGTGCTACTGAGACTACAGAGTGATCGCGCCAAACCTGGGGTGTGATGCTGGAAGAATGGCAACTAGCTGTCGCCAGAGGTGGACACTTTCCTCTACCACCGGCAGCGCCTCGGAATGCCTTTCGAGGCGATTGAGTGTCTCGTTCAGAGCGTTGAGCGATCCAGCTAAGTTTGTAGTGTATGTGGTTGGTCGAAAGGCAACTAGTTGGCGACTGAGTTTGACACATTCTTCAATCGCGAGGAGGGATTCGGAATGCCGTCCGAGCGTGTCAAGGGACTCGTTAAGACATTTGAGTGATGCTATCAATTGGGAAATATATAGGTCTGTCGGTTTAAGTTCAATGTCAACGCCGTGGCGGCAGAGTTTGACACTTTCTTCAATCGCCAGAAGGGCTTCGGAATATTGTCCGAGATTGCGGAGTGTCACGTTAAGGTGACAAAGCGAGCGGGACAACGGTGCACTGTGCAATATCCCTTCAGCAACAACTAGCTGGCGATCGAATTCGACACTTTCTGTGATGGCAACCAGCGCAGCGGCATGCCGTCCGAGATTGGAGAGCGATATGTTAAGCTGCTGGACTGAGATTGCCATGCTGTGAGAGTAATACATAGTCGGATCAACCGCAATTAGCTGACGCCAGAGATTAACACTCTCTTCAATGGCCAGGAGCGCGTCGGAGTGCTGTCCAATACTGGAGAAAGACCGGCTAGCGTTGTAGAGCGATAAAGCCAAAACCGGGGTATATGATGTTGGATGAACGGCAATGAGCTGGCGGCACAGTTCAACACTTTCATATTGCACTAGGAGTGCCTCAGAAGGCTGTCCGAATTGGATTAAAGCGTTCCTATAATACCCGAGTACTGCGACCAAATCCTCGTGTATGATGAATGAGGTCGGATAAACAGCAACTAGTTGACGATAGAGTTTGACACTTTCTTCGCATACTGGGATTGCCTCGTAATAGCGTTCAGTGCTAGAGAGCACCCAACCAAATATTCGGAGCGATGAAGCCAAATCGAAGGAGTAGGATGTCGGGTCTATGGCGACAAGCTGACGCAAGAGTTTGACGCCCTCCTCGATCGATGTGAGCGCTTCAGAGTACAGTGAGATGTTCCGGAGCGAACAGGCAAAACCGTGGAGCGACCGAGCTAAATCTAGGTTGTGGGATGTGGGGTAAACGGCGACGAGCTGGCGGCAGATTTTGACACTTTCTTCCGCTGCCCGCAGTGCCTCGGGTTTTCGCCCGACTCTGCAAAGCGATAATCTGAGAGACTCGAGTGATCGTGCCAAATCCGGGGTATGTGATATAGGATCAAGAATGACTAGTTCGCGCCAGAGCTTGACACTTTCTTCGACCGCTGGGAGCTGCCGGGAATCCCATCCGAGTTTGTCGAGTGATGACTGAAGATCCCCGAGAGATGTAGCCAAATCTGGGGCATAGGTTTCTGCGTCCACAGATGCGAGACAACGGCAGAGTGCAACGGAATCACTTGCTAACTCGTGTCCCTCCTGAAACCTGGAGAAAAACTCCAAATTTCTCTTCAAATTGTTGAACACTTTGACCAATTTGTGGATTTCTTCCTTTGAACCCATGTCAACACTCAACTGAAAGAGCATAAAAATGAGAATAGTTAAGAAACGATATTGACGCTTCATACCTTGGCCCACTCAGGGAACGATGATATACTTATGTACCCTTCCGTTCTCACACAGACTTCCACCCAACGAGTTACTTGCTGACCGAGAAATATGCGAACTGCTACGTTGAGCAGTTCCAGCGCGTCTGGAACTTGATTGAGGTGATATACAATATGCCGACATCCGTAATGGAGCTGTTCAGACAGCATTGCCTGAGGAATGGGTGGCAGCTCCTCCTTCTCCCGCAAATATTTAACCAGGCCCAAGGCCTCCACAGAGGGTAAATCTTCATTCAAAATTTCGATGCAGCGCATGGCCATCCTCGCATTCTCCCTCCTCGCATCCACCACAAAATGATGGAGTGTGTGTGATTGCGCATTGACTCGGTCCATGAGGAAGTCACGGAACGAGTGATGTAGGATACGAATCGGCGTGTGAGGGTCCTGAACCCCTGATAGGAGGGGTGCAAGTTCGGCTAATGTGTGCTCGACAGATGACTCCAGTTGTAATGACAGAATGGCAGTCCAAGCTGCAATAGATAGTGGCTGCTGTGCGATCAAGATGGTTCCTATCACAATTGGGAAGTCGTGAATAAAATCTTCGTCTTTCCAATTACACTTCTCCAAGATGCTCGTATACAACGCATCCATCATCTCTTCAGCAGAAGCCTTCGATCGGTTCGTGCCAGTATCAAGCAGTTTCTCCAGCATCCTCATGGGAGCACCACTTGCCATCTTCATGTAACGGAAAACGGTGCTAACCCAAATGAACAAGCCACCCGCTCGTTCCAGTATAGATTGTACCATTTCATCCTCTTCCTTGAGTTTGGGCTTCAAACTAGGATGCACATCCTTCAGCTCGCGCAGTTGCGTACGAATGTAGATAGCGCAGTCTCGTATGTTAGCATCATCCGAGAGACTGATGCCGAGGCGATCGATAGGGAATTCAAGTGAGAGAAAACGATCGACGAGATCAAATTGCCTCGAGGTGACAAAGAATTTGATGTTGGATGGTAATTTAGGTACTTCTTTCCGAAGTATGTCGGCAAGACGCGGGAATGCTTCCTTGTCGCATTCGTCCAATGCATCAATGACGACTACCATGGGTCGATCGGAGGATAGCGGCCTCAGGTGGAGAGGTTCAGCGATCAATTTCTTGAATTGCATCGTGAACGGAGCAGTTGTGAGAGTCGGATCTTTCTGAAGAATGGATGTGATGAGGGACCGGTACGCAGGATAGTGAGCCGCTAGAGATCGGGCCATGCCACTGAACATATTGTCTGGACGGGATTGCTCACCCGCCTTGAAGAAGAAAGTCGATAATAATATACCCTCTCCAGCGCACTCCTCCGCGATGGAATGGGAAATGGACGTCTTGCCTGCACCAGCCACAGCAGTCAGAAGCATTACACGTTCCTCGCTATCCTCCGTGTTGCGACACCAGCCCATGATACAGTTGAGGAGATCTGTTCTAGTTCCGGGAAGACACACCTCAGTTGAATCGTGGTGGGCAACGATAGGGTATCGGAGTTGGCTGAGAACCGAGGAACTCTCCACCTCACGAGTGACATTTGCCATGACACCAATTGTCAAGTTGGTCTTCACCTACATGATCGCAGCGACAACATTAGAACGTCCGCATAAATTCAACAGTGATCAAGCACCATTACCTGAAATGTTGTCAGAGCCTCGTTGAAATCTCTCCTCAGGTCGTCAATCTTGCCTGGGTCCTTCATATGGAAAAAGAAGTTGACGACAGCAGACCGTCTTTCTCTCTTTCCACGTAGTTGTTCGATTTCGGTTTGAATGCGCTTCAACGCCCTACAAGACGCCCATGTTACAGACTGCCAGTCTGTATGTAGAAAATACTGCCTACTCGCTCATATTTGTAATGCTTTCCATCCACGGCTTTGCCTCTTCGCCCGACGCATCATACGAGTCGATGGCTGCAACCACATCAGCCATGGTGTCGACGATGTGTTTTCCAAATTTCTCCCATTGTTCCTTATTCTCTTTGAACTTCTGTACAGTACTGATTGTCAGCTTTAGTTCCTGACGTAGTATAAACTGTTACCAACGTTGACCTCTTCGAAGATAAATAGTGCGATACCGGCGGCGGACTTTAGAGGAGGGAACGCACCGGAAGCAGCATTGATGGCTGAGAGAATTGGAATGGCGCTGTGACCCCCTGCGGCAAGGAGACCGTCAGCCTTTTGCTTCATTGACATGGCGGAGCAAATCTGTGGATGGGGAGCAAAGTGTGAACGATTGGATGCGCACTATAAATCCTCGAGCAAAGACTTCCCAGTGCGGGGTTCGTCCGAGACGCATCAATGGAAGACCGAACAACATTGTTTGGGCAACGCTGAGCCCCATGGTGTTGGTGCTGGTGGCTGAACTGTTGCCTGGTGGCTTGTTTCCCTCAAGCCTCAAGCCTATTAGGGTTCCTACGCAGCGAAGGTCCATTCAAGACAGACATCCCGCCTCCGATACCGATGATTTTCGGGCAGAACCCGCAAAACAAAATACTGCGGCTCAAACTTCCAAGTGAAGCGATTAGAAAATGGTGTCGCGTTTGCTTGTGGTTCATGTCAGTAGGCACTACTCAGACACTGCCATATACGCCAAGCGCTTGGGCTTGGGCTGTTAGATAATTTTCTTGAGGCGTTTTCACGCCGCAAACACGGATTCAAATGATATCAATGGCTTGTTAAGAGTTCAGTTAATTTGCATCCTTGTGAACCTCCTTCTAAGTCCCACGTCAGTCTGATCTTCAGCCTACTAGTAAACACGAAGCGTTCTGTATTCGTTGAGAGGCGGACGGATAGCCCGCAAACCGGAGAAGCAATGTTGATGCCGGTGCCCTGATGCCGATGATTTTGTTGACGAACTCCGAAATTCAAATTAAATTCGCACTTTATCTTTTGTCTCATTTCTCTCTCAAAACTCGATCACTTTTGACGATTCAACGTGCGTTGGAAAGTGCCCAAGTAGGGCGTTAAGCCATTCAGATAGCGGAGCGTCGGATTTGAGAAAAACTTTAATTTTACACAGATGACTAAATAGTATGTATTGAGGTTTCGTCACGAAAACCGGTACATATGGCTCTAGAGATTATACTCCGAAGCTCAGATGCCCCCACAACTCCCGGGTTGATCCCAAATCCTTTACAGGCATCAATCCATCTAAGTGCCTTGCACTTAATGCATGGAATAGTCTCAATAGCCTCGCAAACTGCACAGGATCCTTGATGTAGCTGTCAATGAGGAAAGGCGTTTATGAGTGGATGTTCTCCCTTTGGTGGCTGTAAGCAATTGCAAACCACCTACTAGATACTATTTCACTTACATCATACTGTACACATCACGCTAACCGGTGCAGACCTTCATCTAGGGCTCCGGTGCTATGTGGTATGGGCTTCGAGTTTTCCAGCGACTAAACCTGGGCGTTTGCCACATTGTGAGGGCTATCCAACGTACGCGCCTTGCGCAAGGGCTTATCGCCTCAATAGGAGGGCTTTGCAATGGTGCTGCGAGGGTCGGGCGGACTTCTTCTTGAGCCAAACTAGGTGAGCCGCTGTGCTCATACCCTGTTGAAGCACCAACTTAGCAGGCTTCGGCTCGGTCGGGATGGAGATTACATTGTCAGCACAAACATAGAACGCCTTCCTACCATAATGGCCCAGCATAATTGATATCTAACTGCTAACAACAATGTTAACTAGACTAGTCAGTCATAGACGTAGTGCTTGGGCGGCTACACTTGTCCCTGTTAGGATTGGCAGTCCAATGCCAATGGTGCTGGTAGTCTGTTGGCAATCGGTGCAGTACTGCCGGTGTGGTGAGATCGAGACACATGATATAAGGTTGTTAAGTTACATGTCTAAATTTGTGTGGCGCATGACGACCGGACGTCTGTTTATCCTTGCCCAGGGTATTTGAGGTGCTTGTTAGCGGAGGAGCGCGGCATATTTCGGATGGTTACCGCGCTCAGGTATCTCCCGCACTGCTGATAGTAGTTCTATATGGCCGGTGAGACTATCGATGTCATTATTGCCGTGCAACTTACCTCGTATATATAGGATTGATGGCGCACGGCCGATTCTCGGAGGGGTCGGAGATCGATCTGATTAAGTAAGAAAGATGTGGGAGCTAAGTATCGTCGCTTGTCTCCAACAAACAAGGCCCTGGTTCTAACTTGTGTATGTCGGCATGGATCATCTCCCCCAAGCAGCATCCCCTAGTCAACCCAAATGGCGCATCTGAGGGCTGGTCCGTTTGCACATTGTATTATCACGCGACCATATGCATTCCCCTCCGAACGGGCAATGCCGGCTGCACTCTAGCGGAGATTTGGCCTCAAATCGCAGTGACTGCTTTTACAGGCAATAGATGCACACACTTGGATGCTTAATCTGTGAACTGGATGAACTTGACCCCATCGACAGGCAACCGTGAATTGGGGGTTTCGATGTGATTGCAGCCCACCTGCCCCCATCCACCGTTCCCTCTGCATCTCGTGTGCGGATCGAATGAACACACGGATAAGAAGTTGACCAGGCTGACACCGTCCTACGTATGGCTAGTGCGAAGGAAACTGCCGAATCTGCAGAAAACACATCCATTCGCCGTTCCGCCGAGCAGGACATTGAACTCGCCTGAGGCGTTTGCACTTTGCACTACTGGGCATCTAGTGAAAGGTAGAAGTTCCTTCCTCGCATCAATTATGTTATCACGCCGCGTAACACTGGTTAGGATTTCCTGGAGTTGGGTGCATAGAAGCATCGATGATTTTAGAGCCTCCAAATCGGACTGGAGGGGATTGCACTTGGTTGCAGATTACTATTTTGGTCCCCGAAAAAAAAAAACACACGCTCTGGCTGTCGGCTGCGATCACAATAATGCACATATACGTCCGTGATATTCCGCCTTGTCGGGGAATATTATTTTTCATAGTCAGACATGATACTGGAATCGCCTATATAGCCTCCTGAGGTTGTGCTCTTCCTCCCTCCTTGCGCATATGCCCAAGGGACTGAGGTTAGCACTTCCTGCTTAACGTTGACTAAAATATATATTTACTCAAGTCATGCACGCTCCCTGCCCATAACAGTAACACAATGCGATTCTGGAATCTCTTCGGCCCAATCGCTTTGCTCCCCATCGCCGCAGCTGATTTCCTCATTGGCACAGTTGAAATTTTCCCTCCTGAAACCTCGAGCTTTTTTCAGGGAGGTGCGGTCAATGTGTCCGACAGTGAGCCAAAACGTAAAATAAAAGTGTTGTTCTTGGTTAACATTTTCTCAACAGACAATTGCAAAGCTGCCGCAACCACGTACGTCGGCGCGTTCGTTTATGGGGCGGACATCATGCAGTTCAAGCTTTGCGAGTCTACAGTTAAGATATTTAATAGTTCATTATGGGTGCTCGTTCTGGACGAAACAGAACTAATTATAAACGGAACATGCACTCAAATCCAAAAGCCCATAGACGACGGGCCTTGCTTCACTGATAAATGGTCGCAGGTTTCGGCCACGTGGACTGCTGAATTGCTCTGCTCATCGGTGGTGTGCCTAACGGGGGAGTTGGACTAATCAATGACACACTTATCCACATCGTGCAGATGATTGTCATCTGCCTCGCGCTGTACAATCGGATCTGCGTTACCGCGGTCAATAATGTATGTCCTGCCATCCGCCCAACAACGGAGTGAACAGAGGCTGCCCATGCATAAGTGGACGAAGATGACAATAAGATTCGGGAGTGTCTAAGTGTGTCTAAAGTGGGGGGACACTCGAACTCAACTCCTGTCGACGAAGGAACTCCCCAGTTCCGATTAAGAGGGAGATAACTTCCAATTCGAAAGGAATGGTGGTGTGTGTATGTTGCATAATGAGGAGCTGCCTCCAACCAGTGCGTGCGTGCGCACTGCAGTACCAACTACTATTAGCATGATGAGTCTTCCCCCAAATTTTCAATGAGGCGTGGGATCTCTTCGGTAGGGTTTCACTGAGATATAGAGTGACATGGAGACGCTAGGGAAACTTTCAAAAGCGACATGATATTTCACCACGCTTGAAGTACACGAGTAGCATTGAAGAGTTGGGGGCGAGATTGGCCATCACACGAAAGTGAACGACGTCAAGACACGCATACCCCTGAGGTACAGCGAAGGGTCTTCGGTACTCTAACAGGTCATTTTCAATCATGTGGATCTTGTTCGTTACCCCGCGGTCGCGTGACGACGCACCATGCAGTGCGGCTCCCCTATTGTAATCTGCATAAAAGGGGTCATCAGGACGGGAATGAAAGGGGGTGGCGTCGGGTTAGCATATAGTCCTCGGGGTTGTGGCATCGGGGGGTAGGTGTCATTCAATCATCTTGAATAAGAGCTGGGAGAATGGAAATAATCGCACAATATTCGAGATAGATGCCAAGGGAGTTCCATTCCCTAGCTTATTTGCCAAGGAATACTTACTGTCAGGGAACCAATGCTTGGTTCTCGCCCGGCCGTTCAACTTCCAATTGCCATCCTTAGCTAGCGTCAGCGACTGCATACAAATAGATAATCGGGATTCTAAGAATTCGTTGCTCAGATCTAGCACATGCCAAGATGTACGTCGGGCGCGTTTAGCGGAGTTGTCCGAATGATATTGTAATACTGTAATACGCGCGTTGCCATCCACACTCCTGAGATTACTATTTGGGTACGCGCTCTGCTCCCCATCGTCACAGCTGATTTCGACATTATCAATATCTCTTTTTACGCTGACGCGCTCACCGAACCTGAAGGGCATGCGCTCCCTTCGCACATTGGCGGGCCGAAACGTAATATAAAAATATCCCTCTTAGCTAATTGTTACTTGAGAAAGAACACTAATGAATCATCCTTTTTTCGAACTGGTTCGGGTTCGGGTTCGCCTCTGAACCGAACCGACGGTACCCCTACGTAGTAGTAACGATATGTCTGTAGTATACGTGAACTGAGGAAAGACATAGAAAGGTAACACGACCTACTCTCATTCCTCCTACTGGATGCACTTTCATCTTGCGAGGATTTACTGGTCACGGACAGACGATCGTTGTCAGCTTATAGGCCATGCCTCATCAACCTGCAAACTACGAGCGCACCCCCAAACCTGTTACTGAGAACCATATGCACCTGTATACCTCGCACGGTACTGGTAACTAACCGCTGTTGTTTGTCTACTTCACACACGCACGCACACACACGCACGGGCCTCACCCTTGTTTGGATCTTCCAATGTTCTGTCACCAACTTGACTACTCGATCAAACATTGTCTCTATCTACATACTCCCTCCTAACCATCCCTTCATCTCGTACTTGTGGTCTGTTGCAAAAGTGTCTTACGCGCTTCAGCGGCGCGACCATATCACCCTCGCTCGCACTTTTTGCGAATTCAAATTCTTGACCACCACCATCACGACACGCCACTCTACTCTTCTTTCTAGTTGTACACGTGTGCCATGCTACAACTAGGGGTGCTAACGTTCGCGAGCCAGAGCTCTCACTCCGCAAGCGCCAATTGGGAATCACCTAAATCCATAGGGGATATGAATACCTTTCATTGAAACCTTTCAGTGGTCGTGGGCTGAGATGGCGGGCTAGGGTGAGTGAACATACGGGGAAGAATGGAAGGGATGCACCCCACCAAGTATGTGGGGAGGTTTCTTTTTCGCGCTTCCCGAGTCCTTTGGCTGCCGCAGCCATGTCACCCATATTTTGGAGACCTGATTAGGTACCCAAAAGCGCTATATATATATATACCTAACAGGCCAAAAGCTTGTTGAATGTTCTATAACGTTCTCCAACGGAATGCTCGTAATGATTAGAATGTTCTAAAACCACGACTGAACGTTCTAAACAATCAGTGAACGTTGTGTGTATGTGCCTAATAGGCCAAAAGGTTGTTGAACGTTCTATAACATTCTCCAGTGGGGTATTCTGATCATCATTGAACGTTCATTGAACGTTCTAACTGTCATTTGCCGCAGGTGTCTGAATGGCGGCAACTTCCCTCGGCAAGATTCAATACAAAGGAGGCAAACGCCGAGATCAGGTGATGAATTATTCGCAACTGTCTAGTTCTTTCCGTCTCCCCATCCTCTCCCCATCCTCTACTGAACCCGCGCAGCGCCGCGACCACCGCCAAGCCTCCCTTCCCTCCTCAGTCCTAAGCATACGCTTTGCGTCCCTCGATTGGGGTGTGGCCTAGCTAACTCATCGTTGCAGTGAGGCGTGGGTTTGTTGTAGGGTTCCATGAGGTTTGCCGGTTTCTTCAGTTGGCATGAACCGCGCTAATTGTCTCTCCCCTGTAGATTGTTCCGCTGATTGTCTCTCAGCCTAGCTAGTTCAGTATTCACAGAGTTTATCAGATGATGGCCTAACGGGGTGGGTTCGTTATTCCAATTGGAGCTGCAACCCCGTTCTTCGCAACAAATCTGATGACTTTTTTTTTGCAGGCTTTGACCTGAACTCGCTGTGCTGGTAAGTTTGTCCCCTGATGATTGTCCTCTTTACGTCCCATGGCCCACTTTCCCCTCGTAAATTCATTTTACTTTCCATGGCGTCAATGCAATGGTATGAGGCTCGGTTTGTTTGTATTGTCCGAAGCAATTAATATTTCGTACCTCCCTTGTATATTAGATTTATATCCCCCTCCGCGACTATTCCGTACCCCCACCAGCTGACTCCTGTGGAATCTGAAACTCTTGTCCTCGCTTTGAGGTCCCCGAGCTTGTACTGGGCACGTTCACTGATTGTTTCCGTGTTTTGTCTTGCATGTCACGCTGCAGCCACAATGTTGCCTGCCCATTTGCTCTTCCATTCGCCTGCCAGCTTGCCCCGCTTGCCATGTTGCTGACATCAACGTGGATGACATGAGTCTCAGATCCAAATGACCCGGTGTTTATTCCTATTTACATTATGTTTCCAGTGGGTGCTTTCATTGATTGTTCTTCAACTTGTGTCTAGTAAGCAAATTTTTTCTCCACCCGGTTTCGTGATTGCATTATTTTTCTATTATGTTTGCTTCCATCACTGCTACTAACATAGTTTGCTATGTATTCCAGTTTATTTCACGGGACTAATCGGAGTCGGGCACGTGCGACTTGGAGCTGTTCACACTGCCGCAGCGCTTGCGCTCGGTGTCACTGGTATGTTTCCCCAGTGCAGCCGGGCTTCTAACTCACGCTTGCTTGTCAGTTACCCCTCGTTATCGCGTGGTTATTACTCTCCCTTCCATGTGTTGCTGTTTTCTGTAAGTGTATTTTTTTAACCCTTTATTTACTTGATTTGTGAATTGTTCGCCCTCAGCTCCTGTTCCTCCCCGCTCAGGCTGCATTTCCTCTTTTGTCTACCCTCCACCTCCCCCCACTCCGCCTTTGATTACGTTGTATCTTAACTGTACTCTCTTTGTAACCGGCCCGCCCTCAGCCGTTGTTTTCCTGTTCCGCAATCAACATTCTGTGCTGGCCCGATGCTAGGCCGAGTCCGCTGTCATGATGCCTATTCTCTTTCTCCCTCTCTATGTCACGTGATTAGAGGATACAAACAGTTATGACCTTAGCTGTATTGTAGCGGAGTTGTCCGAGTTTATTGTTATATTGTTATATCTACTCATAGAGTTTCCGGAATTAATGTTAATATTGTTATTATTACATTGTTATATTCGAGATCGGCACCAAATCCGCTCATTAATGCGAAAGAGTTCCCGCGCTATTTGATGTCACATGCATGTGAGAGTTGGAGCTGAATTCATGAGACAATTGCCCGGCCAACTGAGGGAAATGGCCACACTGTGGGAATCGCCATGGGCCAGCAATTACAACTTACATTGCGAAACCCTCTACATTCTCTGGGTCAAGGCGAGCATCTTCACCCATATCTAATGCTGCCATAGCCAGAGCCAGAGCCCTGTTTTCCTCCATCTCATCAGGCTCTATTTCATCATTATCATCATCATCTTGACTTGCCTCATCCGTGCTGTCCACACCATCATCTTGACCTGCCCCGGGGTACTGAGTATTGGTGGATTGAACGTTGGTGTAAAGGGAACAGAAATCCTCCTTTGACATTGGAGGGGTGGTGTCCGGCCACGGAAGTGCATCGTGAGGACAAGGGACATCTTCGGTGTGATTCTGCCATGAAATGGAGAGATTGTGAAGTTCATGGAGCCATTTGAGAGCAAGAAAGGCCACGTCAACGCTGTTCCTTCCTTGACATGACCGAAAAAGTGACTCATATGCAGCATGCTCATGAGCCAACCAGTGTCGGAGGTTAGCATGCTCTGCAGTGAGTCTGCGTATCTCAGACCGGCAATTATTTGCTTCCTGCATATAGCGAATGCTCTCACGAACACTAGAATCCATCACCCATTTGGGGAGCTCTCCCTCTCCGGGCTCTTGGTCAAAGAACTCTTGCCAAAGATCTTGATCTACATCTAACTTGAGGATGGTGTCACGGCTGAGGGAAGGTGGGAGATACTTATTTTGGTGGGCTGGAGAAGTAGTCCGAAGCCTCCTTAGAAGCTCTAGCTTCTCGTTGTATTTTCGCAGTGTAATGTCAATGGCAGATGATCGGCCCTTCACTGCTTTCTCCACATGGGCCTTGACATTTTGATCAATGGTGCGAGCTTTTGAGCGATCAAGTATGTTGAGTTCGAACCGTCTTGAAC